ATTTTATTTGGGATTTTTTTTCCTTAGGCACACAGTCTTATATTGTAAATTTGTTGATATTTTTCATTGTATGTATCTTTAGGAAGTTCTTCCACAAGTATCAAATAAATATTCACCTAAATTGGCTTCTAGAATTACTGATGGGTTTATTTCTTTCTTAATCGCTAGCTGGTTTTCTTAGGGACGTTTATTAAAATATTGATTCCTTCATCACTTATTTGTGATTGAAGTTTTGATATATAAATGTAAATACATTTTATGGCTGATCAGAAAATTCTAGACAACGGATTGATTTCTTATTTACTGGGTTGTAATGTTATTTCTTATCCCTCTCCTCCCTCTGCCTTCTTTTTTCTGCTTGCCATCCAGCGTTGGTGTGCATTGAGATGTCTCATTCTGGATGTGCCTTGAGAAAACACCTGAAACAAAACTAGTCTAGTCCTCGTCTTTTTCCTTTTTTTTCTTGTTTTATGTGTATTTTTAAATGAATTTTAAAATGAATTTCCAATTGCCTTTATTTTAAACTGAATTTGACAAAACTTATATCCAGTTTGTGGTATATATACTATTGTGTCAGTGTTTTGATAATTGTTAAAACTTCCACCAGAGGGTGAGTAGGGGAGGGGACAGGTAAACTTCGAAAACTGATTCTGCAAAGAATGATTGATTACCTAAGGTTTAGGGCAAAGGCTGACTTTAGAAGTATCCATTGTATGGTCTGTTTATATGCTTGATCATTTCTCATTGGTGACAGGATTTGGTTCATTTTGTAACACATTTGCTTAGAGTTTAGAATCACTTTTATTATGTATTAACTCTAGTCAGCACATTCGGTGATGACAGACGGTCAGATAGAGGGTTAAGACAATTTGGCATGTTCAGTTCAACAGAAAATTGAGATGTAATTATTTGTCTTTAGAGCTAATAATTCTGGTAGGGGGAAGAACAAGAAGCTTACTTAAGTTATTCTTTAGAAAGTTAATAGTTTTTTAGTAGTTCAGAAGACACAGAATGGTGTATAGTGAAAAATTTCCTTACTACTTTTGTCCCCACACCACTTAGGTCCCCTTTCCAGAGGCAACCAATTATATAATTATTTTTAAATACTAAATTCTTAAGGTTTAGACCATTTGTAAACATCTCTCCATAGATAAAAATTTATCTTTCAGTTATTAATATGTGGGAGTTTTGGCGTCAACCTTTAGTATTTATTTTGGGTAGAGTCTTTTGTTTACATGTGTCTGTAAATGTTTACATATATTTACAAATTTACATACCCATATGTAAGTATGTAATTTGATTCAAAAAGTAACATGTAGTATAGAAGATTAGGAAAACAAAAAAGAAAAAACATCATGTCATGACCTTAACGGAACCAGTATAATCATTTTAATGTAGAATAGTTCTTCCCTAGGTTTAAATCCTGGGCATATAGTAATTCTGTATACTTTTTTCTCCTAACCACAAGAATTTCATATTGAAAATAGTGGATTTCTGACTCATTTCTTATGAGGGAAATGAATTTCTTAGTAATATTGCTCTTGGAAGCAGGAACAGGGAACGAACCTTTATTGAAGAAGGGAGGAAACTAGAGATTGGCAGAAGAATAGGGAGGTTAAATAAGGGTACATATTTTAATTCAGCCTTGAGAAAAATAAAGGAAAAATCAAGTTGCAGTAGTTCTGGATTCTTAGAACTGACTGCTTTCATTTCTTCGTCGTCATCCTCTTTTTTTGGTAGAGAATGGATCTGAGATGTGTAGAGGAGAAGCTGGCATTTTGTTATGTTCTTTTTTTTTTTTTCTGCTTTATTTCCCAAACCCCGCCCCCCGGTACATAGTTGTATATTTTAGTTGCAGGTTCTTCTAGTTGTGGGATGTGGGACGCCGCCTCAATGTGGCCTGACAAGCGGTGCCATGTCCGCGCCCAGGATCCAAACCCTGGGCTGCCGCAGCGGGAGCGCACTAACTTAACCACTTGGCCACAGAGCCGGCCCCTGTTATGTTCTGATGTGGGTAGCAGGGACGATTTTTTTCTAAAGGAAATGAAAGGAAAAGACCTTTCCAAGTCATGCATTCACTTGATGTTGGGACCACAATGGAGACAGGGCAGCAGGGGCCAGAGACTACAAGTCATAAATGTAAAGGGATTGAATGATTGCATAGAAGGACAGCAATGCCTAATACATAGTAATCGGCCTCAAATCAAAATTAGTTTATAAGGAGCGAGCTCTGGTGGCCTAGTAGTTAAAGCTCAGTTCATTTCCCAGTCCAGGAACCACACCACCTGTCTGTCAGTTGCCATGCGTGGCAGTGGCTCACATAGAAGAACTCTGAGGACTTACAACTGGGATATACACCCATGCTCTGGGCTTTGGGGGTGTGTGGGGGGAAGAGAGTGGGCTGGCCTGGTGGTGGCATAGTGGTTAAGTTTGTACACTCTTGTTCAGTGGCCCAGGGTTTGCTGGTTTGGATGGGCACAGACCTGCTCACTGCTCATGAAGCCATGCTGTGGTGGCATCCTGCATACAAGATGGAGGAGGATTGACACAGATATTAGCTCAGTGACAATCTTCCTCAAGCAAAAAGAGGAAGATTGGCAACATATGTTATCTCAGGGTGAAGCCTCTTGGTAGAATTATAAGGAGGGCAATCCCAAAAAGTTTCTGCAGGACAGTGGATGACTGTGGAATTAATAGTACATTACCCAATATTACTAATTTAAGGTAAATAAAATATCAGTAATAATCTCTTTTTATCATGTATAAGGACTTTCCTAGGGTCACCTGAAAGTAGTATTAGTCTGCTTTGTCTCCTCTGGGCTGTGATAGTTTTGTTTTTTTGAGGAAGATTAGCCCTGAGCTAACTACTGCCAATCCTCCTCTTTTTGCTGAGGAAGACTGGCCCTGAGATAACATCCATGCCCATCTTCCTCCACTTTATATGTGGGACGCCTACCACAGCGTGGCTTTTTGCAAAGAGGTGCCATGTCCGCACCCAGGATCCAAACCGGCAAACCCTGGGCCACTGGGAAGTGGAACGTGCACACTTAACTGCTGTGCCACCAGGCCGGCCCCTGGGCTGTGATAGTTTTGTAGGCTTTCCTTGTTTTTGATATTCTTGACAGTTTTGAGGAGTATTGGTTGGGTATTATGCAGAATTCCCCCCAATTTGAGTTTGATGATTTTTCTTATGATTAGACTTGGGGTTGTGGTTTTTGGGAGGAATACCACAGTGAAGTGCCTTTCTCATCACATCACGTCGAAGGGTACATGATATCAACATGACGTCACTAATGATGTTTACCTTGATCTTTTAGTTAAGGTGGTGGCTGCTAGGTTTCTATGCTGTAAAGTTACCTTCTCGTTCTATATTCCACCATTTAGAAGTGAGTCACCAAGTCCAGTCCACACTCAAGGTTGGGGGAGGGTTAAGTTTCACCTTGTAGAGGGGGATAAATCTACTAATACTATTTGGAATTCTGTAAGGAAGAATTGTCTCTTTCCTTCCTTCTACTTTCCCCCGCTCTGTTGGAGTATTTTAAAGCAATCCACAGATAACACACGTCATTGATAAACGACCTTTTTTTTTTTTTGAGGAGGAGGATTAGCCCTGAGCTAACATCTGCTGCCAGTCCTCCTCTGTTTGCTTCTGAGGAAGACTGGCCCTGAGCTAACATCCATGCCCATCTTCCTCTACTTTATACGTGGGACGCCTACCACAGCATGGCTTGCCAAGCGGTGCCATGTCCGTACCCGGGATCCAAACTGATGAACCCCAGGCCACCAAAGTGGAACATGCACACTTAACCACTGTGTCATCGGGCAGGCCCCAGAACATTTTTATAGTTCTTGATACATATTGCCAAATTACATTCCACAAGAGTTGTAACAGTTAGTTGTAGCTCTAGCAATGTATGACTAAACTTTCATTGTACTTTTTTGTGTTTTGTTTTTAGGTGAAAGTTCACATTTTAATTTGCATTTATTCGATGAGTTGGTTAAGGTGACCTTTTTTGTGTTTATTAATTAGCTATAGTGTCTCTTTGGGGAATTATCTTTTCCCTTGGGCTTTACCTATTTCAAAAATTTATTTAGATTCTTGGCTATTAACTTTTTTATCTCTTAGAGACGTAAGAGATTTATTTACCATTTAGTTTACTAGTCCTTAATTTTTTTTTGACAGTTTTTTTTTTGGAGGAAGATTAGCCCTGAGCTAACAACTGCTGCCAATCCTCCTCTTTATTATTATTTTTTTTTGATGAGGAAGAGTAGCCCTGAGCTAACATCCATACCCACCTTCCACTACTTTATATGTGAGATGCCTGCCACAGCATGGCTTGATAAGTGGTGTGTAGGTCCATGCCCAGTGTCCAAACCAGTGAACTCCACACCGCTGAAGCGGAGTGCTTGAACCTGCCCGCTACGCCACTGACTGGCCCCAATTTTTAATCACCTTTCAAGGTTTTGTCTTTTATTCAGATCTCATGACCGTATCATTCTTAGTCCTCTTGTATTCTTTTAAATTTTTTTCCTGCTTCCGTTACATTTAGCTACTGGTAGGAAATTTGCTAGCCATTGGTAAAGCAAGAAGTAAACAAGTAAGCCATTTTAGGAAAAAGTCATGTAATGGTAGTTCCATTCCAGACTAATGTGGAGAACTATTGTGGGTTAATCTAGCATATGATTGGATTATTTGCTTTAAAAATTCATGTGAGTCTCCCAAGCAGTTGTGTTAAGAGCCCTTTTAAAATATTTACTCTTTTGCAATGTATTACGAAAATAGCTAATGCATTTGAAAATTACTTTTATAATCTTGAAACCTATGTTGACATTTTGTTACATTTTGGGAATTTTTGTTACCCCTAGGTATTTGTAAAATACCTTCTTTTAAAAAAGGAATTTAGACTATAATAGCCTCTTAAAAGGATATATCCTGAATCAAATATTTTCTTGTGTAAGAGGAACCAAAATGAACTCTCACTCACACATACAAACCTATAAACAGTTTCCCCCCTAAATCTTTAATGGCTTAGAAGACATTTTTTTTTCCTTTATGTGAATCCTTAACCCCTATGGCAACAAAAAATAGCTCCAAAATAAAAGAGCTGAAGTAAAATTGTCCAAAGAAGATGCAGGGTTTGTCATTACCCTTCAGTTCCTCCAGCATGTCCCTAGAAGAAATCAATGTGTTAGTTAAAACAAAGAAAATTAAAATACTCTCCAAATAATATTTCATATTACCATTGGATGTTATTTTCAATTGCTGTCTTGGGATGTTAAATCTATTTTTCTGTGGTTTGCAGCTTTATTAACTCTTTAGCTAATAGTCTGAGAAGATAGATAAACATTTAAGTAGAAAAATATGTGAAAATAGACCCTTATTAATCTGGCTCTGGAGCCACCAGAAGAAGAGAAGCAAATAACCCATAAAAAACTCTCAGTCTTACTATGATATAACAGTGGATTAATACTCAATAATATATAGAGCTTCTAAAATCAGTAAGACAAAAGGAGTTTGAAAAAGAAGAAATATAAATGCCAATAAACTTGAAAAGATGCTCAGCCTCGTTAGAATTAGACAATAACAATGAGGGGCCGGCCAGGTGGCACAGTAGTTAAGTGCACATGTTCCGCTTTGGTGGCCCAGGGTTCACCGGTTTGGATCCCGGTTGCGGACATGGCACCGCGTGGCAAAGCCATGCTGTGGTAGGTGTCCCACGTATAAAGTGGAGGAAGATGGGCACGGATGTTAGCTCAGGACCAGTCTTCCTCAGCAAAAAGAGGAGGATCGGCAGATGTTAGCTCAGGGCTAATCTTTTTCAAAAAAATAAAATTTAATAATAACATTAAAAACGTTTTTTTAAAAAAAGAAAATAACAATGAGATGTATTTTGGGGGCCTGACTTCCTGGCAAACAAGCTTTTTAATTGAGTCTATTCATATATTATTGTACTATTAATAATAATACTGTGTAATTACTATGCTATACAATTAGTAATATGTACTATGTGCTATTGATGGAATAAAAATTGGTAAAGACTTTTTGTGAATGCCCTTAGAACTAGAAATTTCATTTTTTTTGTACTCTGTTTACAAAAGTATGGGCACAAAGATGTTTCTTGCAACATTATATTAACAAAAAAGTTGGAAAGACCCTAAGTAATCTCTACCAAAGAACTGCTAAAATTGTGTTTTCATGTTTTGGAGTATTGTGTAGCCATTAAAAAGAATGGAGCTTTATATGTTGAAAGTCTCCAAGGCTTTTTCTGTTACAAAAAAGCAAGTTACAGAACATGTATATGATCTCATAAAACCATCAAAATGATATATGTGTATATATATTTTTAAGGGTGTAAATAGATATAAAAAGACCTGGAAGTATTACCACCAGACTGTTAACTGTTGTACCTCTGGGGAAAGGAAGGCGAATTGGGGGGAGAGAAATGAGAAAGCTGACATTTTCTATTTTAGTACTTCTGAGGATACCACTGATACCAAGTGATCTGATAAAAATATATAACACTGATAACTTTACTGTTTTACTGTTTGCTTCTAAGAGTGTTTGGCCTAATTAAGAAGCACTTCTAAGAAGTTTATTTCCCAAGGAAGGAATCCTATATATAAGATTATAGTTCCATGGCATAGTTCTAGGAAACACAATGTAGTGAAACTACAATACTGCTTTAAACCTTTTCTAAATTTATAAATAGGCAATTAAATTTGACTCCCCAAATGTGAAGTAAGGTAAATTAAACCCACCCAGTATGAGCTGGAATGTTTGAGGTTCTAACAGCAAATCATAAATTGGTTAACAGCACTGGAAAATTCCGGCAGCACATATAGAAACAGTGACTCAACTGCTTATTACAGCCGGACTCGACCAGGAAAGGTTTGTCAGTTGTAGTGGAAGGAGGAAATGACCCGGATCTGAGACATGAGCAATTGCATTTGCCCTCCCAACAAACAGAGTGCATTATTTCACTGGTTTTCTGTGCTAAGAGTTGTTTAGGAGTGGATGGTTTGAGAGCTTTACATGCTTGCACTTGTGTTCTTTATGATGCATAAAAAGTCACCTGTAAACTGTTGCTTAATTTATGCCGAGTCATATTGCTATCACAAATCCTAGTTATAATAGGGAAATACTGATTTATAAATTAAATGCTTATGGAAAATTTCAAAATATAAAAAAGTAGAATTGTATAGGAACTTCCCAGTACCTATTATCCAACTGCAGTAATCATCCACTTGTGGCCAGTTTTATTTCATCTATTTTGTCTGTGCCTGTATTTACTTCCCTCTCTCCTCCCTTGGATTATTTTGAATTTGAGGTGTTTCAGTGCATATTTTCATGACTTAAGCCTTTTGTGACTACTTGCAGTAAGCTGATTGTCTTCAAGGGTCAAGCCCATGACTTTGGAATTATTTAGGAGTGTTCTCACGTTAGGGACATGTGTTGAGGAGGTGAACAACTCCTCTGAAACATGAAAGGCAAAAGCATTGTTTTAAGTTACTTTCTATCAAAGGCCTCTTCTAGGCTGATTTACCAGAATTTTGATGCAGTAACCCAGTCCTATCTTGCCCAAGATAAAGCGGCTTCTTAATGTCTCTGGAGACCAAGGGATTTAAACGTGGGGTGGGGTTGGTTAAGGTTTTTGCCCTAATGCTTAGCTGCTGGTGTGCCTTGACATTTGTCCTGAGAGCCTAGCCAAGAAAGAACTATTTCCATTCTATTTACAAAAAAACAAGTAATTTTAAGATAGAAACTATTAACTGAAAACTGAGTAGTACTTAAAGCAGCTCAAGTTTAAATGGAGAAAGTTCCGTAAAAGCATAGCACTATTGAGGAATGTCCTATTTATAAATACGTTTTCTCATTTTCCTGAAGGCTAATTAAATGTGTACTGTAAAATTCTAGTTGATTTACATGCTCCTGGCATATATAGATACAGAGAAAATAAACCTTGTCAAACTTCAGTAAATATTTATTCATTGCTGTGCCTTAAGCAGTGAGGGAGGTGTTTGGAGACAGCATGATGATGACTAAGGTTCCTGCCCTCAAGAAGCTGTTTTTTTTTTGAGGGCGGGGGTGCTGGTAGTGGTGGAATCTAATTTTGTTAATCAGATAGATTAAAAAAAGACTTAAAAATAGCTGTTTTACAATTTTATGGGTGATAAACACAAGTCTCCTTTTCTTTATAAAAGTCAGTTTGCTAATACTTTCTTAGCATTTCCATGTTCAGAGGCTCCAGAACTGGCTAAGTATTGGGCATTTTAATATTTGAATTTCATTTTAAAAAATCTTAGTAAAACATCTTTTAATTTCAACCAACATTTTACTGGCCTCGAGAGGCAGAGATAGGGAGGAAACAAGGACCACTGTTTCTAAGTGGACACTTGCTTGTGTCCATACCAGCACAGTCTGAGCCCTTTCTTCCTTATGGACAATTTGAAAAGACAGTTGAGAAACAGGCATTCAGTGGTGAACTTGATCTACGTATAAGGGTAGATTATATTTACTTTCAGGGTTTTCTGTGTTGGATATATACAGTTGGTTCTGTAACATGAAGGCTAATCATTGTTTTTTTAAAAAAAGGTGTAGACAAAGTGGCCCCAGCCAAAACTGAAGCAGTCAGAGTTTGTATCTGGTATTTCCTACCCCTGGAGAGTTAGGCTCTCCAGCCTAGGCTGCCGGCAGCTCCACCTGCCCTTCCACTCCCCACCTCCTCTTAGCTCAGGCAAACAGATCTCGGAAGTTATTAGATGGGAAGTGGTTTGCCCTGACTGTTGCGCAACTTGATTTCACCTTAGTATATCTTGGATATTTCCCCAAGTAATCACATAGAAATCTGCCTCATTCTTTTCAACAGCCATATAGGATTTCATGTACTCATACTATCATTTATTTAGTCAGAACCACAGGATAAACACTTTGCATTACCATTTTTTTGCTCTCATAAACAACATTGCAGTGACTATCCTTATACAAAAATTTTGCATGCTTGTTTGGATATGAATATCCAAGTTAACTAGATAAATTAATTTTTACCAACCTTCTGATATGTGAAAGTGATATTTTGATTTGCATTTCTTCTATTTTGTATTTGCTTATTGGCTCTGTATTTTCCTGTGAACATGATCTTTGATCATTTTTCTGTTAGGTTGCCATTTTCATATTGATTTTTCAGAGTTCTCTGTAAATTAAAGAAATTAACCCTGATATGTGTTGCACGTGTTTTTTCAAGTTTGCTGTCTTTTTATTCTACGGTAGATTTTTGGTTTATAGAAATTTTTATTATTTTTGGCTGTCACAATTATTGATCTTTTCCTTTATAGTTTCTTGGATTTATGTTGTTCTACATGTATGCCAGTTGTCTTCTTATAGTTATACATTTGTGACTTTAAATTAAATTTTTTCTACATTTTAAAAGTCGTAATAAATGAGTATGTGTTCATTATAGGTAATATTTAAAAACTGGCAAAATGAAAGTCCCCAAAATTCTCTTCCTTAGAGCTAGCCACTCATTAAGTTTGATGTATATTCTTCTAGTCCTTTATGTGTGCATCATACTTCAATTTTTTAAACAATAATAGACATTTATCCTACCAATTATTAAATAGTCCATGGTACCTTTATCATATTCTAAATTCCAGCAAAATCATGGCTCAATTTGTGAATGTATTCTAACCCATTGCTCTAATTGACTATTTCTATGTGTGGCCTCATTTTAAAAAGTTAAATCACTCGTGCATCTAGAATTTGTTTTGGTGTAAGGAATGAGGGTAGGGAGCCAGCTGCCCCCAACATCATTTATGGAATAATTTGTCTTCTTCCCAGGATTTGATATGTCAACCTATGTATTTCTATACAGACGCCGTTGTCACTGACCTATTGAAGGAGCTTTGACTAGCCTCCCTATATCGACTCCAGTTTCCCTCCTATCGTTTTCCATAGTGCAGCCAAGGTGATCTTTTTAAACACACCAGCATAAAACCCTTTATGGGCTTCACATTGCTCTTTGGATGAAGACTTAATCTTGAACATGGTCTGGAAGACCCTGTGTGGCCTGGCTCCTCAACCTCTTTGGTCTCATTTCAGATTCCTCTTCTTGCTGTCTGGATTCCAGCAGTTCGTGGCTTGCTTTCAGTGTTTCCATCGTGGCATACTCTTAAT